TTTTTTTTTTTTTTTTTTTTTTTTTGGTACTGGGGATTGAACTCAGGCCCTTGTGCTTGCAAGGCAGGCCACCACCAAACTGCTGAGCTAAATCCCCGGCCCAGTGGTTTTTTGAATTTATTTTGTACTTCCTATTGTATCATTTTGTTTCAGACTGAATTTTGTGATGTACTCAACACAGTCTAGATTTTTTCTGTTTCGATTATATATAAGGTTAATTTTTAAAGCATATTTCTATGTTTGTGATTTTTCTTTAAACAAACTAGATCCTTAAAAATCTATTAACTTTTAATGGATAATATTCATAGAAATATGCCTGGGATATCTGAGAGGCAGCATAATGAGTGGGTTAAGGGCACAAAATCAAGAACCAGGTACCTGTGTTTGAGAGCTGGCTCGGCTGTCAGCTTCCTAAGCTCTAAACCTCCGACCACGCACTTCACTTTTGTGCGTCTCTGTTTTCTGAAAGGTAGGGAAATAGTAATGGCCTAACTGAGCTGTTGGGAAGATTAAATGACTTAATTCTGGTACAGTACTTAAAATAATGTCTGGCACATAGTGAACTCTAACACAAGGTGTGACCAAATTTTAAAAATTTCATTCTGGTAGAAGACATACTGCCACATTGCCCTTAATCCCCGCAACGTACTCTCCCTCCTCTGACTGCGACTTTGTCAGTGTCTTTACGAGGTGTGATCAAACGAATGGCAGATCCTAACACATCACAGTGCGCCCTCATCTGCCTTATTCACAGGATCTGGCACTGGGTGACTTCTGGCTCTTCCCCAAAATTAAGATAACCAGGAAAGGTAAACGTTTCAAATCTATTTAGGACATGGAGGCAGCCATGGCAGCGCAGTTAAAGGCATTCCTGAAAGAGGAGAAGTGTGCTGGAAATGAATAGAAGTATTTTGAGGGAGATTAACTGGCAATGTGTCTCGCTGTAATATGTTTGAACATTTTAAATGTTCACTGTAGTTTTTTATCACAACCCATGCCGTGCTTACTGTAATGATGATGGGAAAGGTGAAGAAATTGCAGGAAAGATAACTTACCAGTTGTGGCTCTACGCTGTCTTGCATTCATAGTCAGAAAACAGAGAGGGTAGTGTTTGCTTGCTTACTCAACAAGACTGGGAAAAGTAAATGAATACTAAAAACAGTTAACATTGTTATTATCTAGCTGTTTTAAAATTGTATCATTAATTTAGTATCCTAAATTTAGTTTTACAACTTAAAAGAATATAAAAATTCATTTCCTTTTTAAGAAATCCATTTCATCTGACCATTGAATGAACTGGGTGAGTTTTCCTTTTTCATGTGAGCTGAAAACCTCTATCCTTAAAGTGTTCATGTTTTTAAAACTATATATTAGTTCAGGAAATTTTTTCTGCTTATGTAGAAAACTAATGTATAGTAATACCTCTATTGGGAAAGTGTTGACTTTTTTAAATCTCTTGTTCCATCTTTCAATAATCTACTATTTATGATACTTTTTTCCATTAATATTCATGACTATGAGACAGAACCTCAATCTTTTGCTGTGAACTGTGCTATCCTAAGTTTAATTGTTCTAGTTAGTCTCTGATACGTGACCCTCAGTGGATTTCAAGTTTCTTTTAAATGCTATGGAATGATTGGTTAAAATAACTATATTGTGTTATGGGGATATTGTTTCATTTGCTTTGGTAGGGCAATATATTTATGTAGCTTTCTGGGGAGTATTTCATGTTTAATGAATAGCATAAATTCTTGGCATTTTCCAGATACTCACTAGGAGTGCTGGGAAGGCTTTATTTGTGGGGAGGGGAGACTAATCAGAATTTCCCCACTGCCGATTCAATTAACTTTCAAATATTCATTCATTATTTATCTTTTGTTGTTCCCTAAAAAAAATCTCACTATAAAAATCCAGAGTATATTTTGTTGGCCTGTATCATGGGAAAAACTTAGAGAACTTAAAACCACAAGCATAAATCAACTTTTAATGAAGAAGCTGTAGGTAAAGGTATCTTTTTTTTTTTTTAAAGGAATTTCATGCCTTTACTATTTAGCTAAAGAAAGAAAATATTTATATTCTCACAAGTCTGGCTGTGGGTAAAATATCTGTCTTTCTTTGACAGATTTATTGAGACTAGATTTAAAATAAGTATACCTATCAATAAATTAGCTTAGAAGCACTATAGTAGCTAAGAAGCAAGTATGTGTACATTGAATACTTCATTACTGTTCATTAAAAATCAAAGTTACTGCATTTCAAATCCAGAAAGGAAAGAGATTCTAATTTACTTCCCATATAAGCCTCTGGGTATTTTTCTTAGTTTTTTATGTACTTTTATTTGTCCTCTAATATTTTAGTATTTTTGAAACCCAATGCTTGTTAGACAATATTTTGAACTCTTAAGTTTTGAAGGCCTCATTACGAATGATGACTAAAAACAGTGATGCCATTTCTTTAAACACCCCAGTGCACTGCTTAAAATTATCTCTGGACAAAAATGGTGAGCCTTCCTGGCAATTCAGTTTTTATGTCAGCCATTTTAGATTAACACTTACATTTGTTTAAAGTGCCATAACAATGATTTGGAATCCTTAACTAGACTCCTTTATTGTACAATGTGAGCAGTATTTGAGACATAAGTATGTACTGAGTTTTGTTAGGGAAATTTAAGAATAAATATAAAATTCCTTCCATTTTGTTCACTAGAAAGGTACTGCCTTACTAAATGTAAGGTGGAACATTCTAGAAATAATACTATATTCACTACATCAACATACTAAAGAAATCATGATAGCTCAACAGAATCACATAAAATATGTGCTAATATTAAAAATTTATTTATGATTTACATAGCAACAATAAAACAAGTCTGAATTAGAAATGAGCCTCCTTAATCTGATAAAGGTATCAATAGCAAACATCATGCTAAATATTAAAGAGTCATAAGCTTTCCCTCGAAGAACAAGAGTGAGATAAAAATGGCTGCTATTCCATCTATTAGCTGCTATTTATCATGGAATTGGAGGCCAGAGCAAGGAACAGAGTAAAAGAGCAGGGGGAAAATACTAATTTGAGGATTGGAAGGGAGCAAATAAAAACTCTTGTAGATAATATAATTATGCATGTAGGAGTTTTTCTTAGTAAAAATAAGTGATTATAGATAGTTTATTATGATGGAGTAAGGCCATATACAAAAGTCAATTAGGATAAAGTGAAAGTTTAAAAGATACCTTGTGTACTAGCCCTTAAAAATATCAAATAGGAATAAACCTAACAGATAAAGAATTCTAAATAGAAAACATCATTAAGAGAAATTCCAGAAAACCCGAACAAATTATGTATATTGGGTCTATTTCACAATCTCTACAGAGTGCATGTTTGCATGTGGCTCACAGCCTTATAATTATAGCAGGGTAACCAGAATCAACAAGTGATTGTGTACTAGGTAATAACATATGTAACTGCTCACTAATTCCATAGTTACCATTTTAGCTTTTTTCCGATCATTACTTTATAACAAACTGATTAGAATCTTTCTCTTACTAGTCTGTAACTATAGACAAACTGCAGGGAAGTTGTGTTAATATATCTACCGAAGATGGTTTTCTGAAAGCCAAGTATCTGTATACAGAATCATCATTTCTGTCTTCTGCTGCTGGCGATATTACATTAGGAAGTGTTCATGGTAAGTAAAATGACCTAATAATTTCAGACTTTCCACATAGTATAAATTTTAAGAGATGACTGTAGTTGAAGGAGCAGGAAATTGGCCTTCTAAATAATTAATTGAAGACTAGCCATGCTAAAAAATTAAAATGAAATGACTTGTAAACTAATTTAATTTTGACAATAGTTTGTGTCATGCTATATGAAGCTAGTCGTTATTCTGATTTTTTAATGCAAACTCTTATAATAGGAAGTGAAGAATGAGGAAATATATACAGGAGATGAAATAAAAGCAGTATTAAAGGTCGCTTTGGAGTAGTTGCTTGCATGTTAGGGTTAGAGAGCAAAAGGTTGAATTAATGAATCATTTCAGGGGAATCTAATTCTAATAACTGAGTGACACTAATTTTGGCTAAAATGCTTTCTGTGTGTTTGTATTGGCCCCGAGTCCTCTTGGCACCACCATTTTCAGTTGTTTTTCTTAAATGAAGGATCCTCTTGTGATTTCTAAAACGTGTGTGCAGATAAGCAATATGATATGCTGTGTGAGTTACTGAAAGAAAAGGAGAGGGCACAGTGGTGAGGTACTATGGCCAGGGATTGCTGGTGTTCAGGGCCGCTCAGCCTGCTGCCTACATTTCCGCGGAGCAGATAATTCAAATCTAGGTGTGTTTTCTGAAGTATATTCAGATAGAATAAAGAGTCACTTATCCTGGGAAGAATTATAGTATATGCATATCTGCTAAATACCTCTTGGGTCATATTCCAGGAAGTACAGCCTTGATCTTTTTCCATGTATGGCCCACTCATTTTACTTCTGCAATAAAGCTGAACGTGGGTATCGATGCACATTGACAGCCCCCCTCCCCGATTGTAGTGATGAACACAAATTACTAGGTGGCATTACAAAGCCTGGTCTCTTAGTCACTTTCCCATCACTGGGACAAAAATACCCAACACCCACAACTTACAGGAGGAGAGTCAGTCACATTTACCATTCTTTCAACACATTATGGACCACCCACTGTGTGCCAGATTTGCAGAGTTGAACAGGTGATGGTATCTGTCCTTAAAGGACACACAGCCTAGCAGAAGGCTTGAATGTCCTTCCTTTCTTATTTCCTCAGTCACTATTGCTCTATTGGAACCCTCATCTCAGGTCCACTGTCACCCTGCCTCACGCAGTGCCCTCTTAACTGTTCCTGAAGCTCCTTTTCCAGTACAAGCACAGCAGTGAGCAGGAGTAGGGGAGGAGACAGTTTGATCAGCTGCTCTAAAAAGACTTGCATGCTGTTCAGTTGTTTGCCCTTGTGCTAAAGGATGATGTGAACGTGCTAGCAAAGTCTGAAATTGGGGGTGAGATGGTGCAAAAGAACAGGCAAAGTTTTGGCTCTGCATGGTGGTAGGTAAGAACATTAGATCATGGCACGTGAAAGGAAGTCTGTTTCTGTAGCTACTGGGGTTAGTAAGGAAGGGCTTTTCTCCAAGGACCCTCCCAGGTGGGAACTCTTGAATAGTAATTCAGTGAGTTCTCTGTTCTCTGGTTATACCATGAAACACAAGTTAGGTATATTTAAACAAGCTGGCTCAGAATCTTAAAAGTTGTGTTATGGGAAAATGTCCTGCTACTTCTGAATGTCTGGCTTATAGAAAACCAACTTGGAGAATATACTCATTGTAAGTCCTGCTTGTTTAGGATTTATTTAATTTGGCTGTTTTTTCTTAATCGAGTCTTAAAGCGATTATTTTTTTTCCCAGATAAGAGTTGGAAAAATCCAACATATAGATGTTTTTACATGACTATAGCATCTTTTATCATAGATTTTAGTTAAGTACATGAATGTGGAGCCCTAGTGCCCGTAGGTGGGTGGTTGTTGGCAAGCAGACATGTCATGATTGCCTAAATTAGCAAGGCCCTTTCTCTAGTGGACAGTGGCTATTTATAGATGAGGAAAGCAAGGCTTAGAAATGTCTCATTGTTTACTCTCAACTACAAGCTGGTTATCAAAGTACAAAGGATTTGGTCCTGATTTCTTGACTGTAGGAGATGCTATTAAACAGCATTAAATCACACAGCCATGTTGAGCTTCCTGATTGCAACAGGAAATTCCAGCATCACTTTGAGGGCTTCCTGCTCTAGATGCCTTGCTTCAGCTGTGCTCTATATTGTTTTCTCCTTGAATTTCAGGGCCATTTATTAATGCCTTCTGCTTCATGACATCTGGCACAGAAGGCAGATGTTTCATAGAGTTTGGGCGCAGCCCCATGGTAGCATTCAGAGACTAGACTCCTTCCATAAAAGCAGTGCTCTTATCTTAAGTGTATGGCTTCTAAGGTTTCCATGAAAATAAGAAAGTGCACACAATCCCTTTCTTGTCTGTGTTTCGCTCATGACCAGATGCCCTGTATAAGCCCTCGGCACTAACAGCTTGGACGTCGGTTTGTCCTCAGCTCAGCTCCTTGGAGACATTCAGACACTCGGCTCCTTCCCTAAAGGTGATGTTGCCACCTTCAGCTTGTTGCTTCCAAGGCTTCTGTGAGAATCAGGGAGGACACAGGGGACCTGGCAAGATGTTTTAGAAACTACAGGTGCATACTCGACTTCAGCCTTAGAATGTTTTCAGGTGGCTTCATAGCTTCAGAGAGTGAGACACATGGTTAGTGTATTCTAGGGAAGGAGAGAAGCACATGTGTTAGTGGGCACTGGGAGTCTGTGTCATATCTTATATTCATAATTGCTTTGCTACAAATCTCTCAAATCTTTCTTTTGTGCCCTCTCCTGCCCTCCTTTCCTTCTTTCATTGCTTTCTCTTTTTCCAGTGCCGGGGATTGACCCAAAGCCTCATATGTACTTTTCCTTGGTCATCTTACACATTTTGAGTCTTAACTACTTTTGTCCCTTGATGATTCAAATCTTTACCTCTAGCCATGATTTCCAACTCATTCCTGCTTCTGCATGGCAGACACAGCCATTTGCACTTCCCAGGCATCACAGTGTTTCCAATTTCTGTTCCCTCCTTTTCTGGCCTCTCAACCTCATCCTCCTGTATTCCCATCTGCAGGTTTGCTGTCACTGTGTCCTAACACCTATGCTGTAAGTCTGAAAGTCACCTTAGGCTGGTTTTATCACTTGTCTGAATATTTCTTCTTTCTGCCCCGTGTTTTTCTTCGTGGGTTCTCCTCTTCTGCTTTAGCCCCGTCACCTCTTCCCTCAGCTCTAGCTGTGACTTTCCTCCAGTCCCGATTTCTTCACACCCCTCTTCCTAGCCAGCTAGTTTCTGAGAGATGCACATCATCGAATGTGTCATTCCTGTACTGAAACCCTTTGCTAGTGTCTCATTGACCTGCCTGCTTCCCTCTTCTGACCCCGTGCTGTGTTTTCCAGAATGATACAATCTCATCTCTTACATTTTCTATTCATATTGGTAACCGATTTTACACCTCTCAGTTCTTGATTGGAGCCTTTGATCATAGTGTTAATGCTGTTTATATTCTGCCTGAAATGCTTTTTTAAAAAAAACTCATTGACTTTTACTAATTTTTTGGTACACAGCTAAAGGATCCTCATCTTACCTCTGACTTTCCACTGACCTATACATTCTTGTCTAATTATAACGCAAGAGCAGGGATCATGTTTTGTCTCCATATTAGTATTTATCGTATGGTTTGCAGGTATCAAGTGACTTCCTTCCTGTCTCCTACACTAAGAAAAACAAAAAAAGGACTTATGTGTTAAGGATATTTGATCTCTCTGGATTTTGAGAGCATGTGTGCCCATGATCACAATTCTTTTGCTGAAAAAAAAAACACCAGTCTTTTTATCCTTAAATTGATCGCTTGTTTTTCCCCCTTACAATGCTAAATGAAGGGTTGCAATAAAAGAAAAACTATATATTTTCTCAAATATTGGAATGTGTGGAAGAGTTGTATAACTTGAGAGTAATGTCAGTGCACATAGTTATTACGGACATATGGTGGTGGCTTTATTGGAAAAAAGCTTTTGCTAAGGTCTACTTCTCTCAGTTGATTTCTTTGTTATTTTCAATGACTGGAGATGAAATAAGTAAAATCAAAATACAGGAAATGTTTGCTAATAATGTTAATTCGTGTATTTTAAAACATTCTACTTCACAAAGTGTTTGAGGCAAGAGTCCATTTTGTATAGTCTAATAATTTTAGAGTGTTTCTGTTTAGTTTTTCTAAATAATTTTGGTATAAATTGAAAATTTATTCTGTTCACATTTCAGCATTGACACGAATTTTTGACATGTTCTTTATAACTATATTTACAGATATTCCTTATTTTCATAGCTTTTTGTTCCATTATGTTTTTACTGTTGATGGAACTGTTAACATTCGAGAGGGCTTTTGCCTGGAACTCTAGGTCCCACTATAATATGAACTAGACCTCATTCCTTGTGGACCCTAAGTTTTGCTTTCTAGCTCTAAGAGTCATTATTTCCTTGAAACCTCATTACAAACATTAATGATTAGCTTTTTGCAAAAGCCCATATTTTCATTAAAATATTATAAATTTTACTGTATTCACTGAATGCAATATAAGACAATAAAGTTCTACTTCTTTGCAACTAGGTGACTGAAGTCACTAGCTAAGTGACTGTAAAACTATATCGTAGTTCTTTATTAATAGTTAAAATTAGAAATCTCATGGCTGTGTTCCATCTTTAAATATATGAAAGGTAGAAGCAGTACAGAGAATTAGAGGTATGGAGTAGCCACTGACCCAGTCTTGACTGATTTCTTTGATGTATGCAGTCCCTAGGCCTGAATGCACTCTGTGGTTCTACCAAAGTTTGTTCTTTACTCACTTTTTCAAACTTTTTTATTTATAAAAAAAATAGCGTTTACCACATCCTGGGCACTTGCTAGGCTCTCCAGATATGAAACTAAATAAGAAAGATGACTTCTGTCCTCATAGGCTTTCTAGTGTTCTCGCCTACTTGATCTACACGATTAAGAGTAGTGTATAGAACTCTGCCTTTTTAACCACTGCTGGTGTGATTCTTTTTCCCCGAGTCTTTCCCTCTTAGAATGTGCATGTTTTACCCATGTTTCACATCCAAGCTCAGATGATACTTTCTCCTTTCTCCCTGTCCTCGCCAGGTAATTTTCATCTCTTTCCTCTGAATAGCTCTGGCACCTCATTCATGCTGTTTACTTAGGATGTGAACGTATAATAATAATAATTATATAATAATAATTATTACGTTTCAAATGCCCCTGAAGATTTTGGATGGCTAATCTGTCTCATGGCCCCTTAATGGTTTGTGTCTCATGTATTAGTCTATTTTTTGTTGCTATAACAAAACGCCTGAGTTGGGGTACATTGTAAGTGAAGAGGTTTATTTTCCTCCAGATTCTGATGGCTGGAGGTTCCAAACAGCATGGTGCTGGTGCTTTGGTGAGGGCTACTTAGCTGTGTCACAACATGCAGAGAACTGGAAAGAGAAAAGGCTACATGCAAAGGAGCCCAAGCATGGGGATGTCGCTTTATAATGATGGTCTCTTTTCACTTTCTACTGTCACTGTCCTGTCTACAATGGCCATGTGTTTGCTGATAGAGTTCTCTCCAAAACTATGTCAGGCTCCTGTGAATTGCATTGGTATTTATTGCACTAGACAAAAACCAGGCCTAAAACTTTCCAAAAACATGGGTTTCTGCAGAGATGTGAGGTATAGCAAGGCCAAGCTTCCCAGGGGGCACATTTGGTCGAGCTCATTTGTAAGGTACAGCCTTAATCTTTTCAAAGACTTTCTTGTGTAACTGATCGATATTATGGATAGCACCTTCCTGGGGTCTTAACAAAAGGCTTTACAGTTACATGGAGCCTCATTTGAGGCCATGTTCTCATAGCATCATGGTTTCAGATTTTGTTTGGAGAACATTCTTAACTTTAGCATCTGTTACCATCTTGAGAGACTGAATGGCTTTGAAGCCCAGGCCCTTTTTTCTTTAGCAATCATTCCTTTGCTGTTAGTCATTCTCTCTCTCTCTCTCTCTCTCTCTCTCTCTCTCTCTCTCTCTCTCTCTATCTCTATCTATTCTTGCATTTTATCTTATGCAGCATGGAAAACAAACCTACAACACTTGGACTTTGCTTGGAAATATTCTGGTATTGTTCTGTGCATAAGGCATATTTCCTATTTTCCACATTACTGAAGTGGATAGTGTTGCACGGTTTCTGCTTCTACTTAACAAGGATTTTTTTTTCCTCCAGTTTTCAAGAACATTTTCCTCACTTCTTTTGAATCCTCATGGGAAGCTTGCTGAAACTCCAGTTTTCTACTAACTCAGTTCAGGGCGACTTGGGCTTTCTCAAGCAAGCTCTTCAAAAATCCTTCCAACTTCTGCCACTGCCAGGCTCTGACGCTAATCCCACATTTTTAGATAGTTATTATGACAGCACTCCATTCCAGGTTTCAACATTTGTACTAGCTATTTTGCCACAAATCGCTCCAGAACATAGCAGTCACAAACACAAACACTGTTTTAGTGAGTGGATCAGTAATTTGGGTGTGGCTCGGTGGGCCATCAGCCTCCAGGCCTCTGACAGAGCTGTCTTCAGGCAGCAGCCAGGGCTATAGGCTCATGTGAATGTTCAGTCACGGGGGAATCTCCTTCCCCTGTGGTGTGCACTCATGTGGCTGTTGGGTCCTTTCTGAGCCTTTTGGCCAGGCCTCCTGCCAGAAGGGCCTCTTCCATAGCGCAGTTGACAACATAGCAGCTGGCTTCAATAAGAACAGGAAAGGATTAAAATGGCAGAAGCCAGAGTCCTTTTGTAACCTAATTTTGGAAGTGACATCCCATCACTTTGTTCCAGTTTTCTTTGTTAAAAGCAAGTCACTAGAGGCCAGCCTACACATGAGGGAAGGGGGCAATACCAGGGCCTGAAGACCCAGGATCAGTGGGCACCATCTTGGAAGCTGCAGGATCTTTGGCTGCAATTCACATGTGATAGGGAAACTCTGTTTACTGGGTTTGAAAATTGTAAGCGAGTATATAGAACACATCAATGAAATAATATTTACTTAACACATTTAACAAGACCTTCACAGTCTTGGAACTTACTGAGACTTGAAAATCATTTTATGAGCTTCTCCATACAGACCATGTTTTTATTCCTACATAAAGGTACCCTTTGTTCATACACTCACATAAAGTGTACTGAAAAGTTAAGCCTTCAGAGTTTTCTAGTCAGACTCATCTGACTCTTGGGTAAATGAATCAAGTGCCTTGTTTGCTTTCTTCCAGGAATGGATACATATCAGTATCTATAAAATATATGAAATGAGATTATCCTAAATTAATTTGAAGCCGTTATTCCTTTTGGATGTAGTTTTGAAATTATATAGATATTATTACTCACATCTTTGCTTCAGTAACTGTGAGTTTCTGATTCCAGAGTGTTTATATATACAAACATAGATATGAAGAAAAGTGCTACTATTTTTGGTATTAGAGTAAGGGGGTGGGAAGAATGGTTGCAATATTCTATACTTGGGAAATATATTTTCATTGAAAGGCTTTGAAGTTTGTTTTTTTTTTTATATAGATATTATTACTCACATCTTTGCTTCAGTAACTGTGAGTTTCTGATTCCAGAGTGTTTATATATACAAACATAGATATGAAGAAAAGTGCTACTATTTTTGGTATTAGAGTAAGGGGGTGGGAAGAATGGTTGCAATATTCTATACTTGGGAAATATATTTTCATTGAAAGGCTTTGAAGTTTGTTTTTTTTTTCTGTTATACCTTCATGGATTCATTATTTTTACCCCAAACTACTTCAGCTCTTGGGCCAAAAGCTGCTTTAATCTAACAAACAGACAGGGAAACTGATCTGAAAAATAAAAGTAATTTTTTTTTCCAGTCACTACTTCAGTGTTACATGGCTCAAAACTTATCTTTGTTCTGATAAATACTTTCATGTTTAGGTTGGAAATGTGTAGTAAATAATGGGCTTTAGAGGTATCATTATTTTTCCTCCCTGTTTTCCAGGAAGAATGGTGGTTTGTTTTGTCATTATACCCTAAAAGTTTAGGTTTTTGGAATGGAAGAAGAATTTGCATAGATGCCTACTGCTAGTTATTTCAGAACTACAACTCTGGATTTGTGATGTTGAGAAAAACAGCCAACAAAAGTAGTAGTGTTAGCCAGTAACCTTGTAGGTATTGAACTACATCTTAGGATTTGGTGTAACAGTTCTTTTCAATTACCCCATGTATAAAACTTTCTTTTCTTTTTCTCTCTTTTCCAGGTGATATAATATTACAAAGTAAGACGGGTAACATCACAGTAGGTAATATGCTAGTGAGTAAATTTGGCCCTCTTCTGATAGTAGCTCTATTTGTGCTGCTTTATTAAAGTATACAGTTCAGCTGATGAAGCAAGCGAAATCCTGATGTGCAAGTCTGATACAGTTAGACCCAAACAATGAGTATGTCCACTCAAAATGACCTGTTGACCTGGTCTTAAAAATGGAACAAATTCCTTGAGTTCTTTCAAATATCAACATTAAGGCTTTAAAAAAGAGTTGCAAATTTTGTCACTGCATATGGGTCCCCAAACTGTTAATGTTTGAAGACAAACATGAGTATTCTAGCAAATGATTAGTCAACATGTGTTTACTAGTGCCTGTTAGAACTTTCAGGTTCTGGGGAAAATATTGTTCAACAAGATATAGGCTGTGCTCAGGGGCCTCGCCTTCTCTGAGTTCTGGGAAGTAAGACAGTAACATGTAGATAATAGAAGGTGACTTCAGATCGTGACAAGTGCAGTGAAGAAAGAGAAGAAGGTCAGAGATCAGAGATCGCCTAGGGAATGGAAAGTGCCTTCACTGAGACCAAGTGGAAGGGTCTGGGCAGGGACAGGGATCTAAGGCAGAATTATGGCAGAGGCTGGTCGGGTGCTGCGTATAGGGCTCCTGCATAGAGGAACAGCAAGTGCAGGCCTCAGCGATGGAGCGATGGTATCGTTTTCAAGCTGTGGAGGGAAGGCTTGTGGGGAAAGTGGTGGGAGATGAACTAAGTGAGACCTGAGCCTGGCACCCTGTTGACATGGCAGGAGTGGGGCCTTTGTTCCAAGGACAGCAGGGCTTTTATATCTTAAAAGAAAAACCTGTTATAATGTGACAGAAGGCCACAGAAATGAAAGCAGGCCACAGAAAAGCTTAATTTGTTTATCCATCCTGTTCATGGACACTTGGGGTGTTTCTAATTTTTGGCAGTTGTGAATAGAGCTTCTATAAACATTCTCATACAAGTCTTTTTATCTTTTTTGGATATCTATCCACATAAATTTATGGGTAAGTATCCAGGAATGGAAGTGGTTAGGAGGTAGGTGTACATCTAGTTTCATGACATGATAAGCCAACAGAGCTTTTCCTAAAGTTCCCTTTTACAGTCTTCTCACCAGTTTATGAGAATTCTAGGTGCTCTATATCCTTGCCAACATTTATCATCACCAGTCTTTTAAGATTCACCCATTCTGATGTGCATATAATAGTATATCTCATTTTAATTTATATTTCCCTAATGTGTAATGATGGCCTGCACTTTTGAGTATATTTGTTGGTCATTAATATATCTTTCTTTGTGAAGTTTTTGTTTGTATTTTTTATCCCTTTATTTTTCAGTTGAGTTATTTGTATTTTTACTTAGTTGCAGTGATTTTTTAAGTATGCTAAATGCAAGTTACTAATTTTTAATATTTTCACTTGTCTGTATTCTCTCTTCCTCCTTTTTATTTACTTTCTTTCTTTTTATTGTAGTAGTGGTGACTGAACCCAGAGGCACTTTACCACTAAGCTATATTGCCAGTCTTTTAAAAATTTCTTTCATTGTGAAATAAGATCTCACTAAGTTGACCAGGCTAGCCTTAAAATTGATCCTCTTGCCATAATCTCCTGAATGGCTGGGATTATAAGCATGCACCACCCTGCTTAGCTGCCTGTTCATTTTCTTAATGGAGTATTTTGATGAGAAGATTTTAATTTTGATGAAGTCTAATTTGCCCATTATTTTTACAGGTCTTAAGAAATTTTGTAACGCCCTTCATTCATGAAGATGGTCTTCTGTTTTCCTCTAGTAGCTTTAAAATTTTTGCTCTTACTTTTGATCCATTTCTAATTTTTGTGCTTGAGTTAGGAGTCAAGATTTTTTTCCATATGGATAGCAGGTTGTTACATCAGCATTTGTTGGAAAAACTGCTTTTCTCAGGATCATTTTCTAAAATCACAGAACTATATAAGTATCAGTCTATTATTGATCTCTTGTTCCTATTCACTGATTTATTTGTTGAGCCACAGTATCTTGATTACTAAGACTTATCATACTAAGTGTCTAAATCAGGTTCTTGAAATCTTCCGAATTTGTTCTTTTAATATTGATTTGGCTACTGTAAGCCCTGTGGTTTTCTATCAGAAAATCCATTTGAGATTGTTTTTAGGTTAGCACTGAGTCACTGAATCACTAGATAAGTTTGGAGAGAACTCACCCTCAGCAGCACTGAGTCTTCTGTTCATGAAAATAGCATAACTCTCCATTTATTTAGATCTTCTGTAATTTCTCTCAGCATTGTTTTGTAACTTTCAGTCTAGCGGTCTGGCACATCATTTATTAAGTTTATTCATAGAATTTTGAAAAGTTTCATTTCTAATTGCTAATAATATGTGAAAATACAACTTTAAAAATGCAGACCTTGTGTCTTGGATCTCACTAATTATCTGGTTTCTTGTGACAGTGCTTTTAGAATCTAGAATCCTTTTCTGTATAAACAGTCATTTTGTATATAATGGAGTACTAGTTTGCTATAAAGGATAAATTTTAGTCATTCATAGGAAAATAGATGCACCTTGAAACCATAATCTTAAGTGAAATAAATCATACAGACAAGCTTAAATATTACAAGGTTATTTGTTATATGAAAAACCCAAAGCATAAATAATTAAAGAGTAAAATACAAAATAGCTAATAAGAAACAAGGAGATAGATCTTTTGAAAATGGGAAGGGGACCAAGAGATGGAGGGAGGGGTGGGGAAGGAAATGAAAAAATTTAAGATATGTTATGTACATATACCAGTCCCCAACATGAATGTAGTCATTATGTACTGCAAATGTATACTAATAAAAATTCAAAAAAAATTCTTCCTTATCAAATGCTTATATCTCATACATAGAATGTGTCCTTCTTCTTCTTGCAATTAGCATAACTTTGAAAGTGTATGAATAGGGCTGCAGAAATCAAGAAATATCTTTTGTGTTGCCTTTTATATTTTGAAAATTGAGGGAAAATTATAAAAATAACTGAACATGCTTCAATTTTGAGGGTTCTATTTTAGCTAAAGGAAAATAGCAAAGTTTGGAACGTTAGCCATTTGAACATTGTTATTTTTCTTCTGTTAACAAAATATATATTATAAATGTCTGGGTTTATTGGATCTATGTAGTGTTAGGCTGGTGACTGACATCAGTATTTTCCTTTCATATATGTAATTTTGCAGGAAAACTCATATAATTTGTCAGACCAACAAGATCTTTGCCCTGAATTGTAATGATAGACACTTTGGCATGGGAATCTACTCATTGCTTCCAATGTCTGAACTAACAGATTCTCTTTACTTGCATATTTCCCTGAAGGCTGTCTCTAAGATCTGTAGAATTTTTCTACTCTGTGAATCTCCAAAAAAATGAAAATCTGTGCACGAAGCCTTAATTTTACTTTTGATAATTAATTTTAGTTCTAATAACAAGAAAATGAGGGTTTATTGTGCTGCATATCACTTCTGGTTTCTCTTTTCCCAAGCATGTCCTGAGATTTAATTTTTTTTTAACAAGCCCCAGCCATTATCAGAGCTTGACCGATAACATAAAATATAATTAAAATATAATTACTTTGTGGCTTAGGATTCAGTTGGTGTTTATTTCCCAGGAGGGAGGGAGGTGAAAATATTTATGAGCTACATAAAAATCTTGTGTGTACCCCCGCCTCCGCCCCAAGAGAGTAAGAAAAACCAAACTAATGTTTCACATATTTTACTTTGTTCAACCTGGGATAATATATACATTATGCAGTCCATTTTTATTTAACCATATAATGTGCTTTTACTTGGCTTCTCTTTGGATGTAGTAAGAGGTTCTAAAAGGAGTTTCTGTTGGCACCTAAAGAACAAAATATCCACTTTTTCTGGCTACTTTATGTCATATATCTAGCAGCCTCATTCCCAACCTCATTGCTTACTTTTGACACAGAAAACTACATAAGTTAGACCTATTTGGTATAGATAGGAAACAAATTATTATACATGTTCTTGGTGCTAGATTTTGAACAGTTTATTCCAAAGTCTGTTTTTGTTTGGAATCACTTAAATGTTTCTAAAGAAGAACATTGGCTCTCTGTAGATAAAGATTGTATTTCTGTATTAAAATCTATCACTTCTTGGCACAGTTTTCACCACTCTCCTTACTTTGCCTCTTCTGTGAAGTCACTCCTGATAAAAGGCACTCCAGAGGGTGCTGGAGGCGGGCCCCGGTAGTGGAGCAATTGCCAAGTGTGTGCATGGCCTTTGGTTAAATCTTAGCACTGCCTTCCCAAAGAGCTTTTACATGGATTTCTCTAAAAAGAACGTTCTCTGACCTTGTTAGGACAGAGAATAAAACATTAAGTGCAAGGTTCAGTTGTCAAGGAAGAAGGAGAAGCCACTGAGCACTGATTCTTCAGTGTTCTTTTCTTCCTTCTCTCTGACTCCATCTGTGTCTCCTTGAGTTAAATGTTGGGGTGAGTCATTTAATAACACGGGGTTTGAGTGTCAGATCAGGGCGGCCATAATTATCAGGACTATCTTATTACTTATTACTTACTTAAAGGTACCTACCTAGTCCCTTGAAGGTACTTGGAAAGCAACAACAGATAAAAACAAGCTCCAGTCTTCCAAGGGTTCTTCCCCTCACCCCTTTCTGTTACCCTAGGAAGTGCGCCTTATGTGGAGTCATCAGTATGACAGTAAACAGAATACACCAGTGACATCCAGTGGTCTTGGTTGTCCAGGGTCTATTGCTTACATACTGTCTTACTGATTTGGTTTTAGAGTTAATGTTTAGAGATAAATTATTCAGATTATGGTAGATAAAGATTTTCTTACTAGGTGTCTAGGTGTAGATTTCTACATTTCTGACACTGTTTACATTTTAATGAGAATGGTGGCATTATTACAAGGAAAATAAGAAACTTTGTAAGATTCTTAGCTTTGTATTCTATATTTGTTTTTTCTTTTTTTTCTTTCTGGTACTGGAGATCGAACTTAGGACCTTGTGCTTGCCAGGCAGGCACAGCATCTTAGCTTTGTATTCTAATGTCAAAGCAGAACCTTTTATTTCAAGTTTATAATTTTACTTACCGTTTTTCTTTCCTCCCAGATTCGTCTGCAGGATGTCTAAAAGCCTCTACTCATCAGGGTGCCATAGATGTTTATGTCAACCAGCTGGGGAAAGTGGAGTTGAAATCTCACAAAGGTTAGCCCCCGGGACACTGCATTTTTCATGTGGTATAAGGAAGGTTGTATGTAAAGCCAAGGAAACAGATGGTCAGATTACCTGTGCTAATATATGGGCTTAAAGAAACTTTCTTCTGTTAGACCCTGATTTAAAGGCTGGTCTTCCAGCTCCTAGATCCATAATCCTTAAAACATTTGGGGCAGATGGCCACGAAGGCTATCTTTCTCTTTGTATGCAAACAAAAGTGTTACATTACTTTGACTACCTGTTATTGTAGAATGTTTAATGTTAGTGTGTGGGTCTTTCTATTTAGTCTTATGCCTGACACAGAATATTCTTTGGAAGGAAAATGCTCCCATCATTGGAAGCTTTCCTGCCATCCTAAAGAGGACCTCCTCGGGGTGTCACTGCAGAGTAATAATTTCAAAGTGTGATCCTGAAATAAAAGTATCACTAGGAAGACTTTGTCTCTTGGAGAATCAACTTATGATATGTCTCACTATATAATTTAATTCTTCATACAAATAATTTATTCTAAGAGCACAAGTAAGGGCCGGGGATTTAGCTCAGTGGTTCTGGCGCCTGCTTTGTAAGCATAAGGACCTGAGTTGGATCCCCGGTACCAAAAAAGAAAAACAAACAAAAACAAAAATCTAAGAGTATAAATCTTTTACTGAAAATAGTATGCTTTTTTATTCATATGAAAGTGAACTCTGAGCTTACATGTGCCAGTATGCACCCACACATGCATGGCAACGTGGGTCAGGGAGATTGGCCAGAGGAGCTGAATCAGCTTGGGTGCAGAAAGCTAAGAACGGTAGGTCTGTATTTAAAAATTTAAAAATAGAAATTTTAAAAATAAAGTTTTAAAGCTCTTGCATATTGGCCAGAATAGGGACATATGTAGAAGACAGTGGGAATTTCCTTGCAGAGCCAGGATGTTGCTGCTATTAACAAGTTCTCACCCATCTTCACTAAGTAGCTCTTCATCCAGCTAGGTTCTCGTCATTGTGTCAAAGTAGAACTATAAAACACTGAAGTCTGGAACTGAAGTTATTGATATTATCATGTTCTCATTAAACTAAGAGCTTCAGTGTACTGTCAGGTATTGTCTATATCATATAAATCATGTAATTGCACTCTTTAATGAAGATCTGGGAGTGGGGGGGCATTAACTAGTAGCAGTATAAAATTTTTGAATATGCAGCTCTTATATGAAAGTTATTTCTTTTTTTTTGTGTTGTGGGCAAATAAGCAAAACAAAGCAAACAAAAACTTTAAAATTTTTGAAAATTGGGGCTGGGGATTTACCTCAGCGGTTCGGTGGCCTGCCTTGCAAGCACAAGGATCCGAGTTCAGTCCCCGGTACCAAAAAACAAAACAACAAAAAATTTTTGAAAATTATTACTCTTCATCTACTTAAAATATTTTTGCACTCTAGTCAGAATGTTGTTCCAGCAACTACTGAAACAACAGATGATGTTACAAAATTTGATTAGTATTACACTTTTGTGTTTTCTCCTGTAAGCAAAAGCTTACAGATAATGGGAAGCAAAGATTTCTGTCTTAGCTCCCATTTCCAAGTTCTCATTATACTTGGGAACAGTAACTTTTTAGAGTGAGTAATAGAAAGCTACTCTGGATTCTGTTTCTTAATGGTTATAAAGACTTCTGGAGTCCATTCTAGTTCTGCCACTGTGTCGCTGCAGGATTGAGAGCCAGTCACTGGAGTCTCTTAGGTCTTTGTCATTTTGCCATGTGGGAAAAAATTACACCCGATTTCTCTCCTTGCAAAAATGCATATGGCAAGCTTATTCATTCAGAAAGGCTGTTTTGGGCCTTGGGAGTCAGCTCAAAGTATCAACTTTCCCACTGATCATGTCCTCAGGGAAATCACTAATCTTCCTATTAGTAGCCCACAGTAAGTATTACTTCGTTTTTGCATTTTTAAGAGGGTAGTATTGGTGTCAGGGATAATGCAGAAGTTTATGAGGTTGAGAACAGGTTCATGACGTAATGAGAGCATATTTTTCTGGGATATTAGGAAAGCTTTTAGGGCATGAGAAGTCATTCACAAACAGCGCCAGAGGTATGATAATGGTGGCTTTTGTTTTTAAAGATGTGGAGAGAGATGAACTATTTGCATGGCTTAACATTTTTAAAGATCTCACAGATTTAAGATCATGTTATTCATGTAAGAACAGAAAAGCGGTACATAAAATTATATACAGATATATTTAGAGACATAAAACCCTAGGGAAAAAAATTAAAATCCTTGTTTTCTCCTTTTAAAAGCATTTTTATGAGAAAATATTTATTTTCTATTCATCTTGAAATTTTCCATGGTTGTTTTGTTTTTTCCTAAAGCCCTTATATCTGTTGTTAGGGGGAATCTTCTACAAGTGTTTATATTTGAACCCTAGGAAGCAATCCATTTTTAAATAAACTGTATACAGTCAAGTGCTTTGTTCCTTACATTTTCTGAGGAGTAAATATGAGAGTTAAGTCCTACCCTAATCTTTCCGCTTCAACTTGGGAGGAATGAGAAGATATAAAACTTCTTAAGGCAATTTAAACTGCGTTAAGCAAATTAAAAGGAAAACTATCTCAAAGGAATCTACAACATTCACTGGATGTCACCTTGACTGTCTTTGATGGGGTTAATGTTTTGTGGCAGTGGATTATAATACAAATCCCACAAAGTTGATATGGGGATTAAGTGTTAACTTAATCAATGTTGAATTAAAAGTAAGACCTATCTATATACTACATATGTAGGAAACTACTTCCCTTTCTGGTGTGGAGGAGTGGGGTGAGGACATGGGACATATGCAGAAGAGCTGTGGTTCTGTGTCCCACGGCCCGTACTGACAGAAGTTACTGTGGATGCCCCTTCCAAGTAGGAAAGTGGCCACCCGGGAGTAAGGGCAAGGCACTGCTGTCTGAGTAACTACCTATGCTGAGGAGTAAAAACAGTGGACCAGGAGCAGTGCTACCCTTTTCAGTCAAATTTGACATAGACCCTGGTACTTTGGTTTCTTTGCACTAATAACCCCTCTTTTACATTTATTACAGGCTCTGTAACAGTCAAAGTGCCATCTTCTCTTCAAGCATACTTACAGTTATCAGGGAAGGAGGTTGATGTGAGCCCGGAAGTCCACATTCAGGAATTGGCTAAAGTGTGTGAACGTGTGGGAGTAACACTTACTGGTAAGGGGGCTGTGGTTTTGCCTTGTGATGAATAGCTATTGTCACACGTAAGTGGAAATGTCTACAGTCAGCAGCAGTATTAGTCATTTCATTCTTCTCCATTGTCACTTTCTAGTGTCTGACAGGATTTTCTTCCACTTGCTTATCAGTAACATAATGCAGATATTTTGCTTGAAAAGACCTCATTAAATTATTGAGGAACACTCATTTCTGTCCTTGGATAAAATTAATTTAAAACCTATTCTGGAACTGCTGCTTTCTAAGTCTTGACCTTAAAAACCAGCTGAAAAACTGCTATATACATTCAATGCAATGCCAATTGAAATTCCAACACTATATTTCACAGAACTAGAAAAAAGAATTCAAAAATTCATTTGGAACCACAAGAGACCTAGAATAGCAAAAGCCATTATAGGCAACAGTCACATGGCACCAGGTGTAACAATTCCCAATTTGAAACTATACTACAAAGCCACTGTGATAAAAACAGCATG